AGTTTGTTCTGCAGCTTCAGATTGAACTTTTCCCTCAGTATTTGCTCTATCTCATCATCTGTTATGTCCCTCATGTCTAAGATGTCAACACCTTCCTCAGGTTTGTAGGTGACCTCGCTGTAGGTCCAACCAATCAGGGCTTTGAATCCTGTTGGTGTTTGCAAAGAGCAGATGGATTTATTGGTGAACAGTGAAGTAGGGTCGGTCTGCAGTGTGTGGTTGGTCTCAAGGAAATGATCGACCTCACGAGGCACCAAGGTGAAACCGTATATCTGCTTAGATTCCTTCCTGCTCACCAGACTAGATTTGGCAAAGTCTGGATTGAGAACCTCTGGCTTTCTGCCAGTCTTCTCCAGCACCCAGAAGTCCTCCTTGTCTATGAGACGAAAGACACCCGCTGCCTGAGGTTGGTCCTTTCCAGAGACGAGCTCCAGGGGCTCCCACACCTGGGAGGACACGCCAAAGCTCACATCTGTTATATAAGCTTTTCCATCAATGATGACCTTGTTGATGAGATGAGTTTCAGTGGGGTAGAAATCATCGAGGATACTGTTGAAAACTCTGGAGCCCAACGTTGTAGTATCGTAGCCCATTTCCCTCAGCACCCAGCCAAACAGGAAGTTGTTCTCAAGGCACCAACCTCCACGGCTGCTCCTCACTATCTTATTGTAAATGACCTGAAGGTCCATGATGATCTTCTCACCGCAGTGAATGCTGAGGTTTTCAAATGGGATGGACATGACGTGCTGCTTGTGGATCAACTTCAGTGTCGCAAGATCCAGTTTATCAAAAGAGCCGTGGAAACCAATTCTTTTGAAGTATTCGTCCAAATTCATCTTGCCTGTAAAATACAGCACATTGCATTCATTTATGAATTGTTTCAAAGCTTAAAAGGCTTTGTGTCTTTTATGATTGAGGGGGATTTATTAATGAATCAGTGAGGATTTTCTGCTGATCAAGTCTGACATGGACAAAGCTGGTGTTTCACTCAGTGTATATCAATCAAGTGCAATTAGGTAAATTTTCATGCTTGTTTTCAATCATTTAAAATATATAAAGTTTAATCACTGAATTGTGAAACAGACAATATGTAGGAAGAGTGTTTAACCTTACCTTTTGTATAGGTTGTAAGTGCAACAGTCAAAATCGGGCTTTCTGAGGAGGCAGGAGTTTGTGTTGATAAGAGCTTCCCCACAAAGGCAAATGCCACTCAGCTACTTCTTCCTGGAGAACTCCGACCTGTAAAGAGTTGAGTTTATAACCAAACATAAAAGTTGATGATTTGCCTAGGCCTCCTGTTAATCAGTGCAAGATTGGTTGCTCTGCAACTATTTCACTGTGGGACAGTACACAGAGGACAAATAAATAAACAAAATTAAATGAGTTTCTAGACATGCTGGCAGAAAATAATGTGCCATTAACTGGCCCAAATGACCCATTATGTGCTTTAATTCTGTGCTTATCACTCGTCAAATATTACATAGATACAGAACATTTATGTTAATGTGTTTATAATACCTCCTCTAAAGTCTGGTGTATAGTATTCCAATTAAAACATGGCAGGACCAAAACATGGTAACGATTAGCATTGTTCATTTGGCATCGCCTCCAACAATCAGAATGAATTGTCATTTATAATGCAAATGGCCACTAGATTCCCCGAAGCTATACCCTTGAACAATAGTAAGGCTAATGTGATATAACAGCACCCCTACTCCAGTTCTCTTCAAGTGTTGGTCTTACATCTGAGGTTCAGTATCATAATGGATCTAATTTTACATCAGGAATGCTTTAAACGTGGCGACTTCTGCTCAGCAGACTCCTGTGAGTTACAGAATAGCGTTCTAGTACGTGAGTGCAGACTTGCTGCTCATCCAGCCAGTGAGGACTGGGCTGTTTGTGCAGGCTGAGAGTAAGAGTGAGGTACCTCCACACAGAAAATACAACAAAACAACAAAGTAAATATGAATAATTTTAATAATACATGTCCAGCAGTTGTCAACACAAGGTCTACAAAGATGAACAATACAATGTAGCTTATTCTAACACTTGTTGGTCTATGCCAAGATTGGCCTTTTTGCGGCGAAGAAGAGGATCTGAGCTTCTGTCAGGTCAAGGTGGATGCCTTCTCCTACAACGAGGAATGGACTAATTGCCCAACGCACACACCTTAGTAAACACACCATGATAAACCCTATAATACTTGTACAATAAAAAGCACTAAAAGAAGATTATATATACACAGGCCTCCTCCTCACTCTCCTGTTATGAAGCTCAGTTTTCTCCTACAGCCTTCTTACAAAATGACAGTGTCAGCCATGTTTCAGAAGAAGAAGATATAAAAGTTTATGAGCATAATATTTAAACATGGTGACGATATATGAGTGAATGCACACAGTACGGCTGCGACTGAGTCAGACAGGGACAACCAGGTACAAAAGACTTATTATATAACTTATAACTTGAAGCTTAGCAGATTACATTCATATAAGAAAGTTATAAAAGGTATAAATAATGGCAAACAATGTTGTTGTTTTTGGACAAAAAAACATTTTTTCTCAGTTAGTAGTAGTAGTTAGTCTGTCCCTCCCATTAGCCTAACTCCATATACTCTTACACATATATACCAAAAACATAAAGCTCACCGATATGTATGATATATGTATATATATGAGCCAAGCACTGACCTTGATGCTACACCACAATAAGCTGGCTATTTGTAACAGAAGACTCTCATAAACATTAATACTGGGTCACAACTTTTTGAGTAACATTTGGTACACAGTCAGCAAATCTGGTCTCTTATGTTACCCCCTTTGCAAACTGTAACCTACTACTGCAGCATACTGAGGTATATGACTATGAATGTATATGATTATTGACGGCCAAAAGTGTCAGTGAATAAAATTGAATCACACATGTAAAGTGCTGTTTATTTGTACTTCTCTCAGTCCTTAAGCAATTTCTTTTGTACAAAACAACATTAATATGTAAAACACGTCACAGTGTGTACCATGACTTGTTGCTTACAGGCTTTAGTTTGTTCTGCAGCTTCAGATTG